CTGAGGTTCATTGCGAGCTAGAGACACCCAAACTGAAGACTGGGAACAGCAAGCTCCCAGCAGTGCTGAGGTTCATTGTGAGCTAGAGACACCCAAACTGAAGACTGGGAACAGCGAGCTCCCAGCAGTGCTGAGGTTCATTGTGAGCTAGAGACACCCAAACTGAAGACTGGGAACAGCGAGCTCCCAGCAGTGCTGAGGTTCATTGTGAGCTAGAGACACCCAAACTGAAGACTGGGAACAGCGAGCTCCCAGCAGGGCTGGCTCAGCGTCTATGACCCAGCCATTACGGAGCCTTGAGAGAGACACTCATAGCCAGGCCTTGAACCCATGTCCTCAATGAGGCGCTTTTATATTTCTGACACAGCCATTATTGAGCCCTCTCCCCCTCGCAAGGGACATAAGATACCCAGACCCAGGGCTCAAATCCCATTATCTCAACGGTGCTGACTTAATATTTGTGACGACACTGCCACTATGAACCCCTTCGAGAGACACCCAAACCTCTGGACCGAAACCAAAGAGCCATCGGTGAACCTGGCTGAGCAACTGAGACCATCCACAGTAAACTCCCCCAACCGCCCTGTGCGACTCAGCCACCGTGCCCCGGTCGATGGCCATCGCCCCAGGCCACAGAGGGCGACATCGCCACCTGGTGGCTCCTGGTGGCACTGCGCGGTGGCACGCGACACGAGATGCCCACGGCTTGGTTTGGGCAGCCAGAGGGCGCTGCTCCTCCCCAATATCCTCCTCCTCTCGGCGCACCTTGCAAAATTAAAAGACTAAACTTTTATTTTATTTCCCCAGCCTCTGTAGCTCTTTTCACAAGCGACCTGCCCATCACAAATGATAGTTCAAGAGAAGTGACTTATCACGTGGACAATGTATAGCAGCCAAATACATACATCATAGTTGTTTTGCGTTAGATCGCGTAAATATATAAATGTGTCGTTAAACCCGCCACCATCCGACACAGCCAATTAGTAAGGTTTGTCACGTAAACAGAACGTACCAATGCGTTACTAGTCAAGCCACAACATTGACCTTCTGAGTACAACGTTTCGCCAGTAATTAGAATGAGCTTCATCATGCGACAGCCAGATTTATGGAGAAGTCCTCTGTCCTCCAGCCAAATACAGGACTCTAACCCGTGATGTTGATTATAAATGTGGAGGGAAACCCCGGAGGACCCGGAGAAAAATCCACGAGGCCACGGGGAGAGAGAAAGAAACACGCAAACTCCAAATATACAACAGACGTCAGGGTCGAACCTACAACCTCCTGCATACCAGGCGAGGTAGTTAACATCTCCGAGGCACCGCGGGTACCCCGAAGGGCGGCTGCGATGGTTATAGCCACTTCGAATCGAACTCCCCGGGGTGCGGCATGTTCAACCAGGGGCAAGTCTCTTAAATCCTCCAGCCTCTGTCCACCCAGCAAGTCTCTTAAATCCTCCAGCCTCTGTCCACCCAGCAGCCGTGGATCAGTCCACGAGTTGTTTGTTGTTGTTGTTGTTAACAATGCATGCTTCGCCGCACCGGTAAGCGCAGGTTGGGTGGGCGGCGGCGTGGGGACATGGAGGTGTGCGGTACAACATTGGGCCGTGCGGCACCTGCCCTCTACGCTGCCCACCGCCTGGCTGCCGCAGAGCGGCCCTCTGCGGCGCGGTGCCTGTGATGATGGTCCATTCTCGAGCGCTGTTGCCGGCCCAAGCCCCGCTCAGCGTCTGCGAGATCTGGCGGGATCAGCGAGCTTGGTGACGAGGCCCAGTCGGTCTAAAGCAGTGGGTCTGAGCCTCGGGGTGCACGCAACACCCCTAAGGGCGCGAGACGACCTTTCTGGGGGTGCGAGACACGGCGATAATGTTTTTAGAAGGTAAAATCATCCCAATACAAATTAAGCAAGGACACGTAAGCAAAACTACTTAAATTTCAATTTAAAGCTTTCGTGACTGCAGGGATTCATCTTCTTAGTTCTTTCGGTAAAGTCACGTAGAATGGAAATAATAAAATAATCAAAATAAAACATTAAATATTTTATTGTTTTAATAAAATCATAAAAATAAAACATAATAAAAAAATTGTGTTTAATTTGTATTATTTTATTATTTCCATTCTACGTGACTTTACCGAAAGAACCAAGAAGATGAATCCCTGCAGTCACGAAAGCTTTAAAAACATAATAAAATATTTTATTATGTTTTATTTTTTATTATTTTATTATTTCTATTCTACGTGACTTTACCGAAAGAACCAAGAAGACAAAACTACTTTGTTTCATCAAACCCTACGTAGCTATTAACATTCTACTTTTTTAACGATTGAGAACCAAAGGGGCGTACGGCTGCAGTGAAAGGTGATTGACCACCGGTCTGAACTATGAACTGGACACTCGAACCTATTGCCGCGCTGCTGTGAGGCGCGCGAGTGCCAGGCAGAGCACCGCCACCGACGCTGCCGCACGCGAGGCCGCGGTGCCCGGGGCACGAGCCAAAGTGACGGCGTTGGCTCGTCACGAGGCTGAGACACACAACCCTACTGATGAGACCCCCCCCCCCCCCACACCGAGAAGTGGAAACCGGGCCAGGTAAACTTATTAATTTCACTTGAAAAATTGCTCCTGCCAGAAAACACCCGATAAGGTTGATCGGCAACCGGATTAAAATATAAAAATCACTTTTGGCAAGTGATGTCCGCTTGTTGATTTCCTGACGTTGTTGAACCACATCCCGCCGCGGTCATCGGTGTTGTTGAATGTGGCAGGGCCGGCAGGATCAATGAGAAGCCGACGGAGAGCAGGAGGCGCACGCGGTTGGAGGAAGGGTGCCCGCATGGCGCAACCGTGCGGGTGGCGGGGGTGGCAGCGTTATGCGACGCATCGAATCATATTTATGCTGGAAGAATCCGATAAGCTATAAAGCTCTTTGTCAAAGACGTCCAGTAGGGGCACAAGGGGGGGGGGGGGTCTCGAATCAAGCAGATACATAAATAAAACAAATATTCAGATTTTTGTGCTAATTAATTAAAATGGCCTGCGGTCAACCATGGCCCAAGCACCGATGAAGACATCTGGCCATCGTATCAATTAGAGCGGCTTACAGTGGCGTGATACTCCCCCTTCGAGGGAATCCTGGAGCGATGGGGCCGGCATGAAATCAAGACGCACGATACATTAATTGCGAGTACTGTAACCTTTACATCTTTATTTATATTAAAACTGTCGATGTGAGACTGTCTTCCACTAAAACCAATGCATGGTGGTAACTAAACTAAATATATATGTATCGTTATAGCCCAACGTATTATTGTATACGGGGTTAAAAACCATCCGTAGCTATTTCAGTAAAAGTGAGTTTGGGAGAATGGACGGGGGGTCCACAGTCGGATCTTGTATCGCCACCACCGTCGCCTGTGCCCATGGGCCCCTGGGCTCGCGTGAACGGGATGTTCCCCACGTGTCTGTGCGCGCGCTGCCGTGAAGGTGCAATCAGCACAAAGTTGCATTGAGCAATGTCATAATTTGGGAAGAGAGATGATGATGATGACGGAGAGAGGGAATCCCAAAGTGAAGCAGTGTGAGGGAAGGGGCAGAAAGAGAAGCGAGGTGATCTGCAGCGTGGCGAGTGGGTGACTGAACGAGTGGATGAGTAAATAAGTGGGTGAGTGGATGACTCAACGAGTGAATGAGTGGGTGAGTGCATGACTGAACGTGTGGTCGAGTGAGTCGGTGACTAAACGAGTGGGTGAGTGAATGAGTGGGTGGGTGAGTGAATGAGTGGGTGACTAAACGAGTGGGCGAATGAATGTGTGAGCGTTGTTGCAACTTGCGGTGTGGTAGTTGAACATAACGTAGATGAGATTAGAAAACGTATGATATCGACCGAGTCCTCAACGAGTGAGTTTCACGGGAAAAGTAGCCGTGGTAGTAGCGCTAGAGGAGTGATAATGAGGCGACTGACTGCCGGTGAGCGAGTGGAGTGAATCAGTGCTGGGTCATCATCACCACGACCGAACCCTCTGCGCTGCGGCAGGAGCTGGGGGCACCGCCCCACGTGACAGCAGCAGCAGCAGTGACAGTGACAGATTGTTCGGCGTGAACGAGGCTTTTTTGAATTGAACAAAAACAAACTGAAGGCGATGTCGTCAGCCTCGACGGGTCGCGAGATTTGTCGCGCCGAGTTTCGTGTTTGTTTGTTTGTTTGTCACTTTGGCTGAGAGTAACGATGTTAAACTCAAACGTAACCCGCCTGTGCTTTGTACAGAGTTGACCGTGGCCAGGTGTTTGTTGGTCACGCCAATCAAGAGAAGTGTTTTGAGGTCGGAATGGCGATGGATGGATGGCGCGCCGGGCAGCTGTGTTTTACACGTGTTAAATGTATACACGTAATGCGTGCACGCCGTGTATACATATTGCCAACAAGTGTAATCTTGTGTGCGCGCGTGTTTTTGTGAACAAATTATACATATTTGTCTCGTGTGCACGCACACAAACCCACACAAAGATCCCCCGTGTAGCGTTAACAGAATGTTGGGGCAAGTGCTGTTAGCGAGCACCTATGAAGGCCGGAACGGCACACGAGGTGTGGGTGGCCAGCACAACGCCCGACCGCCTTTATCTCCCCAGCGGCGATGTTTTACACACCGCACCAGGTACTCATTTGAGGCCGAGTCGACCTAGGGGAGGCCCAGGACCGGTTCAGATAATCGTCACCAGTGTTGGCCGTGAGCGGGACCCGAACTCGGGTCGCCGGGTTCGTAGCGCAGCGCAGCGCTAACCACTACCCCATTGCTCCCCCCCAACTCACTCGCGCCAATGCTCACCACGCGTCTTCACATCTCCAGGAGGGAGCCACTATTTATAAGAACTGACCCCCCCCCCCCCCCCCCATTTAAACTAAGCGACGTTCGAAAACGGAGCGGTAGCCAAGGGAATTGTAAACAATGTCTACAAGATCTGTTCTCCACCCAACACACCTCAACCACCGACAGCACGGACATCGATAATAACACAGGTATACATTTTAATACGTCGCAAAGGAAAACATCTTTGTGTCAAACACAGTTTCGGGATAATGATGATTAAAGAACCGGGTGCTGTGTAAATATCGACGCCTCGGTTGTTTTTTGTTGTTGTTGTTGCGTGTTTGTGCGTTTGCGTGTTCCAGCAATACATTTGAAGGGCGAGGGGGGACCGGTTCACAGAAGTCGGAAAAGTGAACCACGGCTCGGTGAAGACGACACGGCCACTGTGGAAACTCCCTGCCGCGTCGTCCATCGCGTGCCTGACAATTCATTCGGACGGTTGCCACAACCCACGGGGGGGGGGGGGGGCTCCGTCAAGGCTGCAGGAGACACCCAGAGCCAGGACTCGAACCCTCAGAATTCCCTCGAAGCCACTTGGCTCAAAGTTGGGACGCGGCCAAGACCCAGTTCGCCAGGGCTCCACATCTCTCGACTCGGCGTCAGTGATATTTTGTGCACATGCTGTATACACCTGGTTCAACAAAACAACACTCTGGACCGGATTTGACACGTGTCTCATCAGAACACCTGTCAACCCACACGGCTTAGCCCGTATTCTTGTGCAGGGAAATTGAGTTTTCAGGTCCATACGGCGTACAGACGTTTCAATACGGGCATCAACAAAAACTGTCTGTTTTTCTCCCTTGTGATATCACTTTGTAGGATGAACGTTGGGATTTCTAAGGGGCACGGGGTGACCACTAAGGTCTGAATTGGTCTGCACTGAGGTTGGGGCACTGATAAGGAGTTGACAGGTTTATCGTGGTGCATCGTCGTGGTGTATAGCAGCAGAGCTGTAAACCCAATCGGTTGGCCCCGTATTCTTGTACAGGGAGTTTGCAGATCCATACGGAGTAACAGCCGTTTCAATGCGGGCAAAACACGAGTTTGTGTCTATTTGTTTGTGTTTCTCTCCCTTGTGACGGGACTTTGTGAGATGAACGTTGAGATGTATGAGGGCCACGGGGTGTCCGACATTACGGTCTGAGCTGGTCTTACATCAAGGTAGGAGGGCACCCACAACAACAAGGGGTTGGCAGCGATGCGCTCGGGAGCAAAACAGCGCCGTGGGGGACACCACCACCACCACCACGCACACAGCCGCCAGCGATGTTGGCCAAGCAAAGGGGGGGGGAGTGGGGGGAGTGGTGTCTCCCCACGGGGGAGTGGGGTCTCCCCACGGGGGCATGACGTCTCTCGACGGGGACGTGGACCTTGCCCATAAATTATTCTCGAGGTTCCACGAGTATGGGTTCTCGCTCCGTTCGAACCGGCAAGCCGTGCTCAAAAGTCGATCGCGATGTGGGTTAAAGTCGACACATCGATGCCTTTGCCAATCGATCGTAGATGTAGACATCCAATTCAGTTGGGATGCCGTCGTGCGACACGCTTTTGATTGGCTGAACATTTTGCACGATCGGCGACTCCGCGGCAGTCCGCTTCTGTTGCAGCACAGCGCCACCACCAGCCTCCACACCCCCATCGGGGGGCGGGGCCTGTGTGAGTGGGCGGGGCCTGTGTGAGTGGGCGGGGCCTGTGAGGGTGGGCGGGGTCTGTGAGGGAGTGGGCGGGGCCTGTGTGTGAGTGGGCGGGACCTGTGTGTGAGTGGGCGTGGTCTGTTGTGGGAGTGGTCTGTGAGCGAGTGGGCGTGGTCTGTATCGGAGTGGGCGGGGTTTGTGAGGGAGTGGGCGGGGTCTGTGTGGGAGGGGTCTGTGAGTGGGCGTGGTCTGTTGTGGGAGTGGTCTGTTGTGGGAGTGGGCGTGGTCTGTGAGCGAGTGGGCGTGGTCTGTATCGGAGTGGGCGGGGTCTGTGAGGGAGTGGGCGGGGTCTGTGAGTGGGCGGGGTCTGTATGAAAGTGGGCGGGGGTCTGAGTGAGTGGGCGTGGTCTGTGAATGAGTGGGCGTGGTCTGTGTGGGCGGGCCTGTGTGGGAGTGGGCGGGGCCTGTGTGGGAGTGGGCGTGGTCTGTGTGGGAGGGACCGACGGTGGGAGGGGCTTCTAGTGCCACCGTGTGTCCTGGTTGAGCCTCCCAGAGATATTCACAATAACAGTTACTTTGGGTTTTATCGCGTAAACATGAATGTGTCGTTAACCCACCACCACCCGACACAGCCAATCAGTAAGGTTTGCCACGTAAACGAAACCTGCCAATTAGTTGCCAGTTCAGCACTCACCGACGTGTTTGGGAGCGTTAACCCACAACATGTGCAATATAGCACGACGTTCCTCTGGTAATTACAACACCCAGCCTTCATCGGGCGATCGTGCCGAAACGTCGTACTCAAGTTGTAAATGTTGTGGGTTTACTCTCCGACACACCGGGTGTGCTGAACGAGTAACGAATTGGCACGTGTCTGTTTGCGTGACAAACCCCTTGATAAAGTGGCCGCGTCGGGTGGTGGCGGCTTTGACAACCCAAAATAACAGCTGTTCTGAACACTGCCCGCGCAAGCCGACGGTGAGTGGCATCACCATCATCATCGTTAACATCTGTCGAAGTTGCACAAGGGGGCCTAACTCCTCATCACGTGACCCCGGTCCCCCCCACCCCCTCCCCCCAGTGCAATCATTATTGATAAACCAACAACAACAAATACACAACCTCAACGCGTGGAACATCCGACTCCCGCAACGCAAATTTTAAATTACGAAACGGAAAAACAAAACGCCAAATGAGCCCGACTCGTGCTCATTCGTTTCACGATCGCCTGCTCAAGAATCGTTCACTTAAACAAATTATACAACATGCTCATCGTGTCTTAGAGACGCTCCAATCCTGGTTCACACCCAAGCGACCGGTTGCATGCAACCGAGTCGCTCCAACGGAGGGGGACGCGCCTCTGCAACCAGTTGAGCGGGCGAGACAAGAGACCCCCCCCCACCTCCACCTGCGCAGCGATTTGCTGCGAGAGACGTCGTCTCCGCCGCGTGTGACGACTCGTCAGGGAGCCGCGACTCAAGTGCTCGTCACAATCGCGGCCGCTTCGTTTCTTCTCGGTGCCAAGATAAAACAAATAACCCCCCCCCCCCCCCATAAACCTACTCGCTCAGAAAAACGGTACAACACAAGTTACAGGCGACGATTCGGCGAAGCGTGATGTCCAGAGAGATGTTGGTGAGGCAAGTGAAATGGGACCACGCATCGTCACAGCGGAGAGGAACTGCCCTGGCTGATCATCTCTGAAGGCCCTCTCCGAATGTCTCAACCCCGACGAGTCGATGCCTCCTCCGACCCTGCAGTGTTAAGTGGAAGCATCGGCTGCTTGGCCTGTTGTGAACTTGTGTTGTATCAATAATTTGGATGATAACGACGGTGGTGACGATCATGACGATGATGACGATGGTGGTGATAATAACGACGACCATGGATGAGAGACAACCACCGCCTGGGCAAGGCCCGCTCACTGCCTGTCCCACAACACGACCACGCGACTCCTCGTTGCACCACCGACACCTCGACAATCTTCATCCGGGCGACGCGTGGACGCGCAAACCTCGCAACTCCGTGGCGTCACGAGGGGACCCCCCCCCCCCCCCCCCTGGCTTTTGGAAGTTTGGTGTGACACTTACATTTGTTATTTTTTAAATTCCCAACAAACCGCAGCCGTTTGTTTTCACAGACACCACTTAGGCGAGAGAAGTAAACGAGATTGTTGTTGTTTTAGGTTGTTGAGAACAATTACGCGCGAACCGTAACACGTTGTAATGTCATCGTCCGGCTCATGTACAACACAGCCAAGAGAGAAACCCGCCTCCAGGAGCGTGGCCGACCACCCCAGTCACCCGCCCGGTGACAAACGCGGGCCACACAAACCACGGACGCGTGGGGCCTTTAACCCCCCCCCCCCCCCTAAACAAAAACATCTCCTGGGCCGCGGTGGACTCTGCGAGACGAACACAACAACAGTGGCAGCCCAGAGGTGGCAGCAGTGCCCTGCCCCAAGCCCCACCACCACGTGCCCCCCCCCCACCACGTGCCCCCCCCCCCACCACCACGTGCCCCCCCCCCCCACCCTCGATGAGAAGCGATACGATCCGCTCGCATCGTCAGCGATGCAGAACGACGGTGGTCGTTGCGTCGTGAAGACTGCGGCACGGCGAATGCTTGTGTGGGGGCAGGCTCCTCATCCAACAGCAGATAAGATCGTGGATGATGATGATGGTGATGATGATAGCAGTGTGGCTATCACAAACTGGTCCAAGGCTTGCGTTTGTTAAACAGCCACGACTGGGACAAAATTCATCTGGAAGCCCAATTTGGGTGAACGGATGATAGAACAATTACATTTCGGTGATTAAAACAAACCGCTGTGATTCTGGTGAACAAAATAAAAACAAGACACACACAAGGCTAGTAGGGTCTCGGTGCCTATCTTAGCTCCCAAGGAGAGTGTGCGTGCTTGTGTGTTGTGTATCTACATGTGTGTGCGTGCTTGTGTGTTGTGTATCTACACACGTGTGGGGGGGGGCGGTGGCGTAGTGGTTAGCGCGCTGCGCTGCAAAGCCGGCGACCAGAGTTCAATTCCTGCTTATATCAATAACAGTGGTGAATACATGAACCATTCCTGGGCCTCCCCTAGGTCGATTCGGCCTCAAATCAGTACATTGGTGTGGTGTGTAAACATCGCCACTGGGGAGACAAAGGCGGCCGGGCGTGGTTTTGCTCACCCACCCCTTCGTGTGCCGTGGCGGTCGTCATAGGTGCTGCTCGCTAACAGCACTTGCCCCAACAGTCTGTTAAGGCTATACGGGGGGGCTTTGTTGTGTGTGTGTATACTGTCCGTGGGCACACTTGTGCATGCAAAGTGGCAATCGGCACTTGCCCCCAACACATCAAAAGGCTAATTGGGGAATCTGTGTGTACTCATTTGTGTGTGTGGATATAAGCTCTGAACTAAACTCGAACGGACCAGCGTGGTGAAGTATGGTCAAAACCCCCCCCCCCCCCATGATTGCCAATGGGGTGTCGGAGGACGCCTACAAGCAGGAGTGAAGTGACACAAGGGCTGTGATTTATAATAATTCTCACGCGCGCACGTGTGAACGTGTAAGCGTGTGAACGTGTAAGCGTGTGAACGTGTAAGCGTGTGAACGTGTAAGCGTGTGAACGTGTAAGCGTGCGTGTGAACGTGCGTGTGCGTTTGCGCAGCGGCTGGCGCGCCTGCGAACGTGGCAAATCTCGCGTTCGATGCCCGCTCAGGACCACATAAAAAAACAGCGGCAAACATTCGAATCGGTCCTGGGCCTCCCCGTAAGTCCAACTCAGCCTGGTGTGGTGTGTAAACATCAGCACCACCTCGTGTGCCGTGCCCGCTAACAGAACTTGCCCCAGCAGTCTGTTTGAGGCTATACTGTGCGCATGTATACGTGTGCGTGTGTGCGCGCGCAAGCATGCGCAACGAGTGGTTCCTTTCCATCAAACACAAAAAAGCAATCGGATTTCACGTGCGCGCGTTTACGTACCATCGAAACAAACATGAAAGAAAGATCCATAGCAACGACTGCACGGGGGACGAGACCAACGGGGGGGGGGGGGGGAGGGCCAGATCACAACAAAATCACTGCCCACCTCTGCAACCGCAGCGATCGCAGCCTCAGCGGGGCCACGAAGGGTCACGCCGATGCACGCGGCACAATCCGCCTGGTCACGGGGACATCTGCTGGGAGACTCCCGGCCACGAGTCACGAAGGGGACTCGGCCCAAGAACAAGGCCCTGTGGGTCTTGTTTGTTCTAGACGGCACATTCACACACGCTGCACGCTCACCTCCGCTGTGCGCTCAAATCATTATATTGCGACGTTTGCTCATGCACGGTGGCTAGGAGATGTTAACTACCTCGCCAAGTATACAGGCAGTGGGTTCGATCCCGACCCTGACGCCTGCTGCTGTATATTTGAAGTTTGCGTGTCTCTCCCTCCCCGTGGAGGCGTGAATTTTTCTCCAGGTCCTCTGGTTTATTCCCTCCACATTAAGAATCGACGTCGTGTGTTTGGAGTATTTAGCTTATTTGGGCCTTAACTGCAAAAATAAAATAATAGTTAAGTTTGTAAATAGTTCATGAAAGCCTCAGCCAGCCTCAACTCTTTCTCAGCAGGTCGGGGGCAATGTGGCAGCGCGATCTCAATTGAGCGATGTGCAGGTCACGTTTGGGCCTGTGACTGTGACTGCTCTTGGCCGGCAGCAATGTCCTTGTCTGATTATTTTGGCGATGGGAGGAAACAGGAGGACCCGGGGGAAACCCACGCAAAACAGGGGGAGAGGGAACACACAAACGCCACACAGAGAGGTCGGGATTCGAACCCAGGCCCCTTGTTGCTGCGAGACACAGACCGGCACCGGCACTCTGGTGCGCTGCACCAAAACTATTTTAGTTTTACCGGGTAAGGCCGCACTGAGCTCTATCACAAATGATAGCTCAACAAAGTGGCTTATCGCGTGGAAATTTAACGCAAACAAATACTCTGAACGCACGTTGATTCTAAATGCGGAGGGAAAAGCCGAAGGACCCGGAAAAAAATCCACGCGACCCACAGGGAAGAGAGACACCACAAACTCCAAATATACAGCAGCAGGCATCACGGGTCGGGATGGAACCCACGACCTGCTGTATACCAGGCGAGGTCGTTAACATATCCTAGCCATCTTCTTGGTTATTTCAGTAAAGTCACGTAGAAGGGAAATAATAAAATAATGAAAAGAAAACAGAATAAAATAATTCTCACGACGTTTTTATTATGTTTTATTTTTATTATTGTATTATTTCCCATCTACGTGACTTTACCGAAAGAACCAAGAAGATGAATCCCTGCAGTCACGAAAGCTTTAAATCGAAATCTCCTAGCCACCGTGGCACCCGATGCGACGGTGACCTCAACGTGCGGTGTGCACCGTGAGGAGGGAGCCAGTGCAGAGTCTGCGTCGTGCGATGCGCTGCGGGAGTGGCTGCGAGAGTGGCTGCGTGCTGCTGGGATGACGGCCGTGTTGGGTTAAGACGGTCTGACCAGGTTCATGACAATCACAGGGGCCGGTAATTTGATATTCACAGTAAGCAGATTTTTATAATAAGGATAATGCCAGTTTATTTACCCAGGAAAAAACATCTCACAGCGCCTCGAGAATCATTTAGCGGCGAGGGTCCTGTGAATCTGGTATGTCTGGCCAGCTGCACGATGAATCGTTTCTGGCTTCACTTGGGAGGAAAGCCCCGGAGCAGCCGGAGAAACCCAGCAACCCGCACGAGGCAGGTGACCCTTCAAAGGCTCCGTGAGGGTGGATTCAATCTCGCAACACTGAATCGAGGCAGTGGGCCAGACCTCATTCTGTGGACCGCACCCGTTGCTGTGCTGCCATCTCCTGGCCACCCTCCCCCCGCCGTTGTCGCGGCCCTCGCGACGACGGCAACAACCCCTGGCAATCCCAAGGCGGCCCCACCCGTCCCCACCGACAACGACCAGTTTAGAGAGACGTGAACGAGATTGGGCGTGCGTTTCGGGGAGAATTCCGCTCCACGGGGTGGTGGAACGCCTGCCACAACGGCAATCAATGTTATTTCGGCGGCCGCGGCAACGCCAAATGGAAAGCCCCAGGCTGCACAATCTGACCGCGTCGCGCGCCCCCCGGTGTGGCAAGTGACAGCCACCGGCGTTGGCTGAAGAAAAGAAAAAAACTTCGCAGAGGGGAACTCCTCCGATTTGAACCCTCAGGGGGATGGATGCCTTCGTCTGGCTCCATCGAGCCTCAGGAATAAGCGTGCAAAAAAACCCACCCCTACGTGTGCCTTCGTTGTGTCCTCATTTGTGAGTGTGAATATCAGCAGTTACCAATGGTCCGTAAGAATCTTTTAAAGTGCATTATTCTATGTCGGTGAGTATTAGGTATGAATGCTTTATTCTAAGAACCCTAAAGGTCCTGAAGCCTGGCTCTGTGAATTTCAGTGGTTAACAATGGATCCTAAAGCTGGCCATGTGAGCCTTAGGAATAATCAGTGATGCCTAACAATCCAAGCAGTACCTTAGTGCGTCTCTACGAGCCTCAGGTATTAGCATGGAGCCCTAAGAATCCATTCTAAAAACTAGCCCAAGACTACATCCTAGTAATGAACAATGAACCATAAACCTGCAATAATCTGGCTCTACGAGCCTCAGGCATCAAGAGCACAAGCCCTAGGAATTCCTAATGGATTCATAGTCTATGGACTCAATGTTGAACGCAAGGAAAGGAAACATTATCGTCAATATCATCATCGTTATCACTCTTGTTACACAGCACAACCGTTCCGATACACAGCGAGCCAGCATCGTTACTTCCACTCTCGACGAGGAGCGTGGCTCTCAAAGGAAAACCGAGAGAGTGCGAGCGAGACAGAAGAGACGGACAACCGGGAGGGGCATGGAGAACTCGCGCGCAATGATGGGGGGGGAGGGACAGCTGGCAGCTTATGGCCGCGTAAGTAACAAGGGGTGGGGGGAGTGGTGGGGGTGGTGGGGAGTGGTGGGGGTGGTGGGGAGGTTTCACTGAAATCAGCTCGGGGGTTAAAGTGCGCTCCCCCCATCTTCCTAGCAAGGTGTCCCTTTCTTGTCGACGATGAGCGGCTGGAAGTCCATCTGGAGGTTGTCCACGTAAAACGCCTTCGAGTCGAACCTGGGACACGCAGAGACACGTGGAGACACACAGGCGTGACGATGCGGGGGTGGGGGGGGGCCCGCTGGAGACGTACGCACCTCTGTGTTACTCCGTGTGTGCGTGTGTGCCTTTGTGCATGTGTGTGCGTGCGTGCTTGTGTGCGCTAATCTATACATGTCACTGTGCGGATGTATCACGGTCCCACTCTGTAAAGTGAGAAATCACGACAACTGCCATCAATGCGGCGACCAAACATGGACCATCGATCTCCCGGTCTCCAAAGCAACAACACACACCCACTACCACCAACACCGCCATCAACACCACCACCATCAACATGGACCATCGATCTCCCGGTCTCCAGAGTAACAACACAGACCCACTACCACCATCACCACCATCAACACCACCACCATCAACATGGACCATCGGTCTCCAGAGCAACAACAACACTAGGCCACGCCAACGGCCCTTTGTCCACTGAACATTGAGGGACACTCCCGTGTGCAGGGCGAGTATCTGACCGACGTGATGAAAACCCACGCAGCAGCAGTATCGGTGTCCTGACGCTACAAGAAACCCGCGTCTTGGATGTCCCGTATGTGCCAGTCGCTATCACAGCCACGGATAACAACCTGACGATGAGCCACTACCACCCAAAGCACGGCTTGGCCATAGACACGCGAATAACTCAATCGCAGAGTTCTACGCCTTCCCGCCAACTGACAAAGAAGCCACCTACACCACCAGCATCAAGACAAGGGGAGCTGCACATCACCAACGTGTACAAAGCCCCAAATTACAAATGGCCACAGCCAGCGCTCACCAATGTGCACCAATCCCTGCCCGATACGTTGGTGACTTTAACAGCCACCGTACTAGGTGGGGGTGGGGCTATGCAGGAGGCCAGGCGGACGGCGAAGGCCTCGCCGACTGGATGTCCGCCGAAGATCCACACCCGGTTATCGATGGGAAGCGGCGAGCAACTTTCCACTCTGCTCGCTGGCAACGCGACCGCAATCCGCACCTCACTGTCTTTTACAAAGATCAAAGTGGGAGCATGCTTCACGCATTGCTGTGTGTCGTACAAGTGGCCGAGTGTCGTATGCGCGTGTAGTACACGTCGCTATGTGTACATCGCTATGTACGTGTGCTTGCACACGAGCGTGCGCTCCGCCGTGCGTGCGTACTTGCTGTCGTGCGCGTGCGGGCACAGCACGCGGAGGCCGAGCACGATGACGGTGCCGCCCAGCGCCCCCACCACCACGAGCAGCGCCGCGCCGCACACCAGCGGCAAGGCCTGCTGCCACAGGCTCCTCCACAGGCGGCACACCTCCTGGCGCAGCATCTCGGCCCGCTGACACACCAGCTGGAACACAAAGAAAAAGATAAAGTTCCCCCGTATAGCCTTAACAGACTGTAGGGGAAAGTGCTGTTAGCGAGCACCTAGCTGAAACACACACACACGCACACACACGCAAAAGATAAAGATTCCCCTCCCCCCCCCCCCTTAGAGCCTTAACAGACTGTTGGGACAGCACCTGTGAAGGCCGGCACAGCACACGAGGGGGTGGGTGGCCAGCACCACGCCCGGCAGCCTTTCTCCCCAGTGGCGATGTTTACACACCGCACCAGATACTCATTAGATGCTGAGTCAACCTAGGGGAGGCACCGGACTGGTTCAGATAATCGTCACTGGTGTTAGCCGTGAGCGGGAATCGACCCCAGGTCTTTGGGTCCGTAGCGCAGCACGATAACCACTGCACCACGCATACACAGTGACACATTCAACTCGTTAAAAAAGACAAAGATCCCCTCCGCCCCCCTCCCCACGTATAACCTTAACATACTTTTGGGCAAGTGCTTTTAACGAGCACCTATGTAGGCAAGAAGAGCATTGCAACACCACGCCTCGCCATCTTTGTCTCACCTCGTGCTGATGTTTGTACACACCGTAGCAGGTGGTCATTTTAAGGTCGAGTTGACATAAGGGAGGCCCAGGACGGCTTCAAATATCTGGTCGTGAGCGATCATCGAACTCACCACTACAGTACTGCTCCCCACAACACTACACAGACACAACTATACATGTCCAGCTATATGTATACAACCACACACACACATCCTGGCACAGCAACTCAAATCGCTGGCACATCAAAACCTCACCGAATCTCAAGACTATTTCAGGAGGGTAATTCCAAGTTCACGAAGCCGGGGTTGATGCTGCAGCTGCTGCTGCCATGCGTGATGCCAATTTAGCAATTTGCAGGCAATTTTTCAGCATTTGGAAGGCTTGGGCCAGTACCAGTTTCATTGTACGTGATTTTTATAGCTAGGAGAGGCAACCGGAGAGAACCCACAGGAAGCCTGAGTAGAATCGGGGTGGGGGGGGGGGGGAGAGAGAACGTACGAACTGCACTGAAGACGGGCGCCCGAAACTGCTAGTGAACTGCGTCAGTTCGCGACCAATATTATCAATATCATCGATAATGATGCATAATAAGAAGTTTTTTTGGTTAGATCGCGTAAATATAAATTGCTGTTACACCCACCATCACCCGACACAGCCAATTAGTAAGGTTTGTCACGGAAACAAAACGTGCCAATTCGTTACTAGTTCAGCACTCCGGGGTGTGTGTCGTACTCGAATAGTAAACCTTTGTGGGGATACTCTCCAACACACTTCCCGTAACGAATTGGCATGTTTTGTTAAAGTGACAAACCTTACTAACTGGCTGTGTCGGGAGGGTGGTGGGTTTATAACGACCACATACATATTTTCATGATCTAACCCCAATATTTTTTTTTTACGGAATGGACTGCGTGCACTGCCCGCCCCCCCCCCCACCCCCCCGCACCCCCCTGCCCCTCTCACCTTGTATGAGGAAGGAGGCTCGGCGCGCAGCGGCGTCTCCGGGAGCTTCCCCGGAGCGGCCGCTTCCTCCAGAGTGGTCTCTGCTTGACCCATCGGGTAGTGGCTGGTCGTCTGCAGGGGTCCCGCGGGCAGCTCTGCACGCGAGGGTTGGGGGGGGGAGTTCTCCGTTACGTTTCAGCGCAGGGTGGGCCCCGAGTTACAACGTGACGCCGCCCAGCACACGCGCAGCCGAGTTCTGCGGAATTGTCACGGATTCCGATGGAGCCACAGTAGACCGTCGTCGATTTAGCCCGGCTTCCGATATTTATCCGGCGGTCCCGGGGGCCGATCCGGCGAAACCGGCACGCACCTCCGATTAGCACGGGGTTTGGCTACGTACGGTGCAAAAGAAGTTCAACGTACATACATGCGTACATGTAATCCGGCCATCGCCGGAAAACCGCTCCATCAGCTGTACCAAGTCCGGCAATCGGCACCATGTGCGTAACAAACAAAAGTAGAATCTTGATTACGGAAGGATGAGAGACAGAGGAACGGTGTCCGGGTCGGTATCTTGAGACCGGGTCTCAGGATCAGCATCTTGAGACCGGGTCTCAGGGTCGGTGTCTTGAGACCGTGTGTCAGGGTCGGTGTCTTGAGACTGGGTGTAACGGTCGGTGTCTTGAGACCGGGTCTCAGGATCAGCATCTTGAAACCGGGTCTCAGGATCAGCATCTTGAGACCGGGTGTCAGGGTCGGTGTCCTGAGACCGGGTCTCAGGATCAGTGTCTTGAGACCGGGTCTCAGGATCAGCATCTTGAGACCGGGTCTCAGGATCAGTGTCTTGAGACCGGGTCTCAGGGTCGGTGTGTTGAGACCGGGTCTCAGGATCAGTATCTTGAGACCGGGTCTCAGGGTCGGTGTGTTGAGACCGGGTCTCAGGGTCGGTGTGTTGAGACCGGGTCTCAAGATCAGTATCTTGAGACCAGGTCTCAGGGTCGGTGTGTTGAGACCGGGTCTCAGGGTCGGTGTGTTGAGATCGGGTCTCAGGGTCGGTGTCTTGAGACCAGGTCTCAGGATCAGCATCTTGAGACCGGGTCTCAGGGTCGGTGTGTTGAGACCGGGTCTCAGGGTCGGTGTGTTGAGATCGGGTCTCAGGGTCGGTGTCTTGAGACCAGGTCTCAGGATCAGCATCTTGAGACCGGGTCTCAGGGTCGGTGTCTTGAGACTGGGTCTCAGGGTCGGTGTCTTGAGACCGGGTCTCAGGATCAGCATCTTGAGACTGGGTGTCAGGGTCGGTGTCTTGAGACTGGTCTCAGGATCAGCATCTTGAGACCGGGTCTCAGGGTCGGTGTGTTGAGACCGGGTCTCAGGGTCAGTGTCTTGAGACCGGGTCTCAGGGTCGGTGTCTCCAGACTGGGTGTCAGGGTCGGTGTGTTGAGACCGGGTGTCAGGGTCGGTGTGTTGAGACCGGGTGTCAGGGTCGGTGTGTTGAGACCGGGTGTCAGGGTCGGTGTGTTGAGACCGGGTCTCAGGGTCGGTGACTTGAGACCGGGTGTCAGGATCAGCATCTTGAGACCGGGTGTCAGGGTCGGTGTGTTGAGACCGGGTCTCAGGGTCGGTGACTTGAGACTGGGTGTCAGGATCAGCATCTTGAGACCGGGTCTCAGGGTCGGTGTCTTGAGACCAGGTCTCAGGGTCGGTGTCTCCAGACCTGGTTCGAGGCTCAGTGTCTTGAGACTCGGCTCAAGGAGTCCATGTTTCAACATTCAAAGTGCAACCTGCAGTGTGCATGCATTCACACTAATTGTGTTCGAAATGTTTGAGATAAATTTGCAGCACACACACTCTTCTATTGACATGCCACCCTAATGCTCAGAAAACTCACCGTTTGATCTCAGACATGTCATTTAAATCAACACACCCCTTACAGGCAATTAAATCTTTGTTAAAACACCCGTACAGTCACCACTCCATTGAATTAAACGATGTGTATGCCTTTTTTGCAAATCCTCCGTAGCATAAAAACATGGAAACATGGTGAGGTGCTTGATGTTTAAATAATGTAATGCAGTAGATTGTGTGTTTCTGTTAATCAGCCGTGACTCTTCCTACCGTGGCAAATGGCTAAGGTAGTGCACAAATCATCTCATAAATCTTAATTCACATCACCTGCCTTCGTTTGCTGCTGTCGTTACAGTTAATCCGGGATTTTGCATCAACCTTGTGAGATTCGTACTGGAGTCAACATTTTCTTTCAGCGGTCCGGTAACAGCGATACTGCATCAAATTAGAAATGTCACCACTTTAAACCGTTGACTATTTATGGTGATGTGAAAATATTACGTTGTACGTTTAAATACAGAGAGACCGGCGGTCTGGAGCAGACTTTAAAGACACTGATCCTGAAACTCCATCTCAAGACACTGATCTTATCACCCAGTCTCAAGACACCGATTCTGACACCCGGCCTCAAGACACCATGGCGCTTGTGCCAGGCCAGGTGCTGTACTTTTAACCCAAAAACCTCTATTATGGATAAGATTGGTCGTGAAAGCCGACGTGTTAAACTCAGGTGCACTTCAGTTTGTTGTCCTTCCCCCGCACCTCTGATTAGCACGTTTCTCTACGTACAATGCGAAATAAGTTCTACATACATACTTTGAGGCCACGTGAAGTGTCCAAGGCTCGCCGACAGGTCACGGGACAGACCCAGGCACTGTGGGTTTGCACGCACACCACACATGCACGCACACCACACATGCACGCACACCACACATGCTCGCACACCGCATACTCGCACGCACCTTTCCCCGGCGTGTTGGGCAGTGTGCCGTAGGTGTCCGCGTCACGTGGCATGCTGTACAGCATACTCTCCTCCATGGGCACGCTCCACGTTGCGCGCCGCACTTCGTTCTGCGACATTCCAAACGTCACCTCCAGCATCGGCACCAACGCCTGGGTCACCTGGGCGACGCGGCGGGGAGGGAGGGAGACACCCATCTTTGGCAGGAACCTCAACTTAGAAACCCTCGCATCACGATCCCATCCATCGAGTCGAGTCTACCACCCTCTGACCAACTTGGTTGCATGCAACCCGAGTTGCAAGTGTAGGGACATCTCTCTCTGCAACCGGTTGGCCGCAGTCGTGCAACGGAACCGGACTCCGTGTTTGAGTACCGAGTCTGCTTGGCGATCTGTAGCGACGGATTTCATTCGTCCCCCACGTCGTGTTGCACTCGTGAAGGAGGCTGATCGGTCGGTTTAATTTCCTCGTTTCGCGATTACTCGCTCAGACGTGTGACAGAGCAGTGGCAGGCTGTGAATAAGTTGTATTTGTGGGACCTTTTTGTCGGTATCAAAAAAGATGAAAAAATAAAAATGGGTTTTACCCTTTCGGGCAATAACACAGGTGTTAAAATGTTCACACACCCAATAGATACATTTTGCAAGGCATGAAGTCTGCATTAACCACACATACGTGTGGCAAAACACGCAAACAAACATGCTCTGACAATAATAATCATGTTATGCGTTGTCTTTGAAACTGATTGGTCTACACGAGAGACAGCAGCAGCCTTCTTGATGGTCAAGTCTCAGCACCAGTGTCAGACCAGAGAACGCCAAAAGGCGAACAGCACAAAGACACTGCATGTCCCAGGACACTTAGAGCCCTGGTCGAGCAGTGATTGAGGGCTAATGATTGCGCAACTGATCGCTCAGGTGCGGGCACAGCTTACTAACAACAGCAATGTCAGTGTATACGTGTATACACACACGTAGGAGAGCAGTCGTGTAGCAGTTAGCACACTGCGCTACGAACCCGGCGACCCAAGTTCGATTCCCGCTCACGGCCAACACAAGTGACGATTATTTGAACCGGTCCTGGGCTTCCCCTAGGTCGACTCATCCTCAAATGAGTACCTGGTGCAGCGTGTAAACACCACGACTCGGGAGACAAAGGAAGCTGGGCGTGGTGCTGGCCACCCACCCCCTGGTGCGCCGTGCCGGCCTTCATCGGTGCTCGCTAACAGCACTTGACCCAACAGTGTGTTCAGGCTGAACGAGGGATTTGTGTCTTTGTGTGTGCACAGCATCTAAATGCAATTGCATCTCAAGACTCTTTAGAAATAAACTAGAATAAAATGCTGATCAAGGGCCAAGTGGCTTTCTGTCATCAAATATTTCACTTGGATAATAATAATCCTTTGAGATGGATCATCTCGTTACTGACAAGGGTGTCAAGTGACACGCGTCGCAAAAAAAACCGCAGTGACACGTTGTATACACACACTCACACGTTCATAATACACACGACTCAAGCAGTGCACGTTGTACACACACACGTTCATAATACACACGACTCAAGCAGTGCACGTTGTACACACACACACGTTCATAATACACACGACTCAAGCAGTGCACGTTGTACACACACACGTTCATAATACACACGACTCAAGCAGTGCACGTTGTACACACACACACACACATTCATAATACACACAACTCAAGCAGTGCACGTTGTACACACTCACACGTTCATAATACACACGACTCAAGCAGTGCGCGTTGTACACACACTCACACGTTCATAATACACACGACTCATGCAGTGCACGTTGTACACACACACACACGTTCATAATACACACGACTCAAGCAGTGCACGTTGTACACACACTCACACGTTCATAATACACACGACTCAAGCAGTGCACGTTGTACACACACTCACACGTTCATAATACACACGACTCATGCAGTGCACGTTGTACACACACACACACACGTTCATAATACACACGACTCAAGCAGTGCACGTTGTACACACACTCACACGTTCATAATACACACGACTCATGCAGTGCACGTTGTACACACACACACACACGTTCATAATACACACGACTCAAGCAGTGCACGTTGTACACACTCACACGTTCATAATACACACGACTCAAGCAGTGCACGTTGTACACACACACACATTCATAATACACACGACTCAAGCAGTGCACGTTGTACACACACTCACACGTTCATAATACACACGGCTCAAGCAGTGCACGTTGTACACACACACACGTTCATAATACACACGACTCAAGCAGTGCACGTTGTACACACACACACGTTCATAATACACACGACTCATGCAGTGCACGTTGTACACACACTCACACGTTCATAATACACACGACTCAAGCAGTGCACGTTGTACACACACACACGTTCATAATACACACGACTCATGCAGTGCACGTTGTACACACACTCACACGTTCATAATACACACGACTCAAGCAGTGCACGTTGTACACACACTCACACGTTCATAATACACACGACTCATGCAGTGCACGTTGTACACACACACACGTTCATAATACACACGACTCAAGCAGTGCACGTTGTACACACACACACGTTCATAATACACACGACTCATGCAGTGCACGTTGTACACACACTCACACGTTCATAATACACACGACTCAAGCAGTGCACGTTGTACACACACACACGTTCATAATACACACGACTCATGCAGTGCACGTTGTACACACACACACGTTCATAATACACACGACTCAAGCAGTGCACGTTGTACACACACTCACACGTTCATAATACACACGGCTCATGCAGTGCACGTTCATAGAATGCCAAACGTTTACGAGACAGCCAGCCAGGGCGACACGCATAATCACACGCAGCCAAACACACAGATAAGTGGTGCACGCTGCCGCTTCAGACGGAATGTTTCTCCAGCTGCATCGGTTGTAAATGTTGCACGAGTATTCATGAAAGGGTGTAAGGTAAGTCGAGACTGGCAGCACATTTTCAGCGTATCCGCGAGATTGTTCCGTGCCTGTTTAGGCGGCCGTACGTACGTACATGCGTGTGTGTGTGTGTGCGCGTGTGTGTGTGCCAACACGGGGAGCGGTAGTGTAGTGGTTAGCGCGCTGCACTACGAACCTGGCGACCCGGGTTCGATTCCCGCTCACGGCAAACACCAGTGACGATTATCTGAACCGGTCCTGGGCCTCCCCTAGGTCGACTCAGCCTCAAATGAGTACCTGGTGCGGTGTGTAAACATCGCCGCTAGGGAGACAAAGGCGGTCGGGCGTGGTGCTGGCCACCCACCCCCTCGTGTACCGTTCTGGCCTTCATAGGTGCTCGCTAACAGCACTTGCCCCTACAGTCTGTGAAGGCTATACGGGGGATCTTTATCTTTGTCTTGTGTGTGCCAACTAGAGCGTGCCTGGGGCAGGGAACGTGCAAGAGCGAACTCAGCGCCCGGAACCAACTCACCTGGGTCCCGCACCAACAACAGCGATAACAACAATGACAACTACGACGACAATGATGATGACAACAATGACAACTAAACGACGATGATGATGAACAAAACGTGCCAAATAAAGACCAGAGAGGGGGGGGGATTAAGGCATCCATATAAATTACCACGGATATCTATTGTTGGTTGGGCTATTCACCGCACAAACCGCCTGCTGCACGTGAACGCAATCGAATCACAATCTCGGCAGCAGCCGCTGCCGCACACCCAGAGGTGCGAATATAAAACGGGAGGAGAGTAGGCGAAGGTGGATCCCTGCAGTCGCTCGCTGTGGTCACCGCTGACCACGTAAGTTCCAGATAGCCTCTCATAATAAAATCTCTACTTCCGAAAGACCCAAAGAATATAAATGTCTATTCTTCCAATGCTGGCCAGATGCACCCACGCTTGACCCCACCACCCGTGAGCTGCCGATCAACTCTCCGCGGGGTACCCAGTTATACGACCACCTCTCGTTTTACGCGGGAGGTCTTCTTGAAAAACGGCGCGTAACTCAAAATCGCGTGAAATAAAATGTAATTTTCCCCATAATAAATAAAGGAAATGCTTGGGGTTAGGGAGAGCTATCGAACCTTACTCTTACGCCTACGTATTTCACTGATTACGGTAACATATTATATTTACAATACTACCATACATATATTAAATAAAGTAACAGCCTATTTAAAAAAACAATTTGGGAAAACGAGAAGCTTTTTAAACACGTCAAGCAAGATGCGTGCACAAGACAAGATCTTGCGAATGGCGCGCGAGAAGGAGATGCGGACTGGTGCTGCTGTCGGCGCCTTGTGGTGGTTGTCGTACTGCTGCTGCACCTGAGGCAGCGTCACCACTCAACTTGCTGCCCCGACTAACGATGAGCTCGCAGTGCATTCTGTAACACCGCAGCCCCACGACGCTGGAGCCCGTCGCTTCGATGACAGCGCGCGCATAACAAAAAAAACAAGCGTAAAATAACCTAACGCGCCATTTCAACAAATCGCGTCACGTAAACCCGCGTAAAACGCAGGGCGACTGCGCACGGCTGGGCGAACAGTGGCGGGGAGAGATTTAAGAAACTCACCCCCCGTTGTTTAAACTGCCTCGGCGGAAGATCGAATCGAATCGGTGAACACCGGATCGCAAGTTCAGCACGCTGCTCGCTATTGTATCACGGCAGCTTCGCGGTCGGGGGGGGGGGACGTGCATTTATTTTTTTCACGCGAGAATGGAAAGAGGGAAAAGATCAAATGTATTAAATTCCCAGCCTTCATATGGCTCATGGGGGAAGCAATTTAATTCGTGGGGGGGCGCTTGACTCATTCCCATTGCCGTTCGCCAACTCGGGCGCGTTAATAAATGAAGGCGACATCTCTCGAGAGGGGACGTGGAAATCTGTATGCATACCGAGTCTGGTGGATAAAACATCTAAAAGCGTAAAAATAAAAAATAAACGCAGCCAGCCGGATGATGGCGAGATGGAATGTAGCACGACGTGTGGCGGGTTTCTCCGGGCACTTCAGTTTCCTCGCGCGAAAAAAATACGCGGATCTCTTTGCCAAACATAGGGTGTAAATTTGTGTGTGTTTTTAAAGGACAACTGACGATTTCGATTGTTAACCTTTCGATTTAAAACAAATACTCACGATCGACCGCTCAATGAGCGTGCTCTATGATAACAACTTTGCTGCTCCCACGCAGAAGACTCGGCCCACTATGTGGACAGCAGAGCCACATCAATCAACATCAATCAACGTCAATGAAACTCCGCCGACTGTTGTAAAGATATGGCAACTCCTGGACTGTAGGGTGATCACGTGGATTTCGCATTAACCGGAGCACATATTTGTTTGGTTTAAGCACGTGACTTGTAATAAACATTTCCAAGAATAACAATATGCCACTGGTCTAAGACTATTAATTTAGGCTTAAGGGAAATTCCACGAGTTGTTAATTTACGGTTCAGATATTCGTCACTGGTGATGGCCGTAAGTGGGAATCGAACTCGGATCGCCAGGTTAGTAACACAGTGCGCTAACCACTGCACACGCGACAACAGCCACCATTTGCCACTAAGTGGCGGTGACGTCACCACTGCGCTTGTGCCAGGCCAGGTGCACTTTGAGGCCACGTGAATTGTCGAAGGCTCGTTAACAGGAAGTCACGGGACAGACCCAGGTGGCATGGTTTGTAAACACACCACGCATGCACACACACACACCACATACTCACACGCACCTTTCCCCGGTGTGTTAGGCAGTGTGCCGTAGGTGTCTGTGCCCTTTTAGCGCTGTTTTCTGTTTTCAAAGTTTGTGGGCAACCCTTTGAAAAAAATTCGTGTTTTTTTGCCAGGGAAAGTGCCCCCCTATTTTAGACCGACAAATAAGACGCAGATAGACACAGAGCTCGTGAAATTCACACTCCGAACCTTCGTTGGAAATCAATAGAAAGGCAACCCCGTGTGGATAAAGCGGTCAATGTAAGAAACTCAAAAGTAGTTCTGTAACGTCACGTTCTGGGGGTCATTCTGTGACACAAAGTGGTGATGTCACCCGCAATGAGCGAGTCGAGACGCGTGCAGGAGATGCGGTGTCCTCACAGCGTTCCGACCGACGCCATCAGGCGAGCAACAGGGTCGGGGTGCCAGTGAGTGAATGTGTGCGAGTGTGAAAGTGAGCGAGCATACAAAGACAAAGGTCCCCCGTGTAGCCTTCACAAACTGCTAGACAAGTCCTATGAGCGAGCACCTATGAAGGCCGGCAAGGCACACGAGGGAGCGGGTGGCCAGCACCACGCCCGGCCGCTTTTGTCTCCCCAGTGGCAATGTTTACACACCGGACCAGGTACTAATTTTAAGCTAAGTCGACCTAGGAGAAGACCAGGACCGGGTTTAGATATACCTCAGTGATGTTGGTGGCCATGGGCGAGAATCCAACCCGGGTCGCTGGGTTCGTAGCGCAGCGCGCTAGCCGCTATTCTACCACACACGCACACAAACACGCACGCACGGTCTCACCTGCGTTGAGTCGATGTCCGTCACCTGCAGCTGGGCCACGATGCCCGGCCGGCCTGGCTGCCCCGAGATGGGAGACTCGAGCACGAGCACACGGAGACTCACGGGGGACGACCACTGCTGCAGCACCGACACTCCGTCAGTGGCCAGCTCCGCTAGTACACAGACACACACACACAGACGAACGATATAATAAGCTATAACATAAATCAGAATCAGAAGATGTATTTATACTGGAGGAATCCGATAAGCTATAAAGTTATTTTTCACAGATGTCCAGTCGGGGCACGGAGTAAGAACGTCACAACAAACAGGACAAAAACACGATAGGAGTGCAAAGTACAAGAAAGGTAAATAAAACAAACGCGTACAAATAAAACTAATCCATCCCCATCCTATTCTTGGTTCTTTCGGTAAAGTCACGTAGAAGGGAAACACTAAAATAATAAAAATATAAAACAATCAAATTCTCACGACGTTTCGACTGCAACACAAGCAATCACACCTGATGATGATTGCTTGTGTTGCAGTCGAAACGTCGTGAGAATTTATTGTTTCCCTTCTACGTGACTTCACCGAAAGAACCAAGAAAATGAATCCCTGCAGTCACGAAAGCTTTAAATCGAAATTCACCCCATCCTACCAGACAAAGCCTACTGAGGTATTAACTTGTTTTTCAACAGCGACCTGGCCACAAATGATAGCTCAACAAAGTGGCCCATCATTTGGAAATTTGTCGCAGACACACACAAAGATGATATAATACACTATAACATGCAGATCCTCTATCACAGACACACACACACGATGTAATAAACTAGAACACAAAGATCCTCTCGCACAAGACACCCACATACGGATAATGTAATACACTATAACATACAGATCCTCTAGCAGAGACATACATATTTAGAGGATAAAATACACACACATACATAAAACACCACTTGCAGACGCACATACATTTGCCCCAACCGTCTGTTGAAGGCTACATGGGGACCTTTGCCTGCATGTGTTTTGTGAAACCAATTTGCTGAGCAGAGCCCCAAAGACCCAAAACGTGAAGCTTTGGAGAAGAGATGATGATGATGGAGAGGGAATTCAAGTGGAGCAAGTGCGAGGGAAATAAGCAGCAAGAGAGACGTTGCGACCTTCAGTGCGGTGTCTCAGCACACACAGAGTGTGCGCGTGCGCGTGCATACCCACGTCAGCCTGGCAATCCACACGAGTCACCACATTGCTGCCCACGGGATGCGTGTTCACAGAGACTTTACCCTCGCTCACCGTCACGTCCAAACGAACCTGCGCGCGCGCACACACAAACACACAAAGATCCCCCCCGGTAAAGGTCCGTTGTTAACAGATTGTTGGGCCAAGCGTTGCGAGCAAGCGCCCATGAAGGCCGACGGGACACACTCGTGGGCGGGTGGTAACACCACACCTTTGCTGCCTTTGTCTCCCCCGTGCGCCGATGTTTATACACCCCGCTCCAGGTACTCATTTAAGGTTGGGTCGACCGCGGCGAGGCTCGGGACCGGCTCAAATATTTACCGCTGTAATTTGTCACGAGAAGACACTGAGCTCATTATGCTTGCGTGCGTTCTGGAGCCAGAAGTGCCGTTCTCAGATGCTGCACGGGGATGTACACACATAGACACGGATCTTGAAGAGGCTCCCAGCACGTGGGGCAAAACGTCGGGCATTGCGCAATTCAACACGTAGTAGTGTGGTGCAACCCGAATAACACTTTGGAGAGCGGTGCACACAGCCCTAATTCTGGATGAGGGCCTCGGGGGGTTATTTTCCCACGGTGCGCCAGGCTGGTATGGATTGGTGAAGATGGGGAGCAGAGGCTTGGAAGCATAACATTGCAGCATGACAATGGCTTTTTGCCGCATTGTTGTGGTGTGGTGATTGTCCCACACGATCCCTGGGACCAGAGTAATCAAGAAGGGCGGAGCAAACACTCCACGCTCCCATCGGTTAGGGCACGGGCGGCAAAAGGATTGGTCGGAATGTTCAAAATGGAAAAGAGCTGGAGGGTTGGGTGAGCGTCAGGTGAGACGGTTAGGCCAGGTGAGGGTAAGAGAGGGATGATTGGTGGAGACGGAGGGCGAGGAAGTGCAGAGCCAGGAGGAGGTTAAAAAGAGGGAGCGGGAGGCGGAGTTCGGGACGTTGCGGGAGAGAGCGAGAACCAGAGTGTGGACCCGTGCCGTGGAATAAAGACCTTACCTTGTGCACAAAGAAAAGGGCCAGTCTGCTTTCAGTGGTGAAGATGATAGCAGTGGTGATAACACGTTGTCGTTATGGCCAGAGTGGTGATTAACATGTTCTCGTGGGGAGTTGATGATAGCAATGATGACCTTGGTGATCGTTATGTTGTAAAAGGTACGCTGGTGTTTGTCGCAATGCTGAAGACCGCTGGCAGAATGTAAAAATGTCAACGTTTGGCTCAGCGCACGTGAGCCCACGCTCGCTTGAGCCTGAGTTTTGACAATTTAGACTCCCAGGACGGAGCGAGCAATTTAACTGCACTTTCAGAGCCAATTTTAGAAGCGAGACTGAAATTCTCGTGACGCTCCTGTGGCCTCCCTCTTCCTTCTCCCCGCTGCCGTTATTCAATCTCTGGAACATTCACCGCTGGCTCTGCTAAGTCCTTCAATGTACAGTAGTCCCTCGGTTAACGAGTGACATCGGTTAATGGTTTGTCGGTCAACGTTTCGCCTCCCATAGGAACCCCCATGGTTTCGACTGACGATAACATTTTGTCTAATGGAATGTTTACGTTATGCACGCGGGTCGCCAATTTCGGCCAATCCCTCAGCCAATCAGCGACGCCAATTTATGCCCTCCTTCAAAAAGTTGTGAATGGAGAGGAGCGAAGGAGGCACAGCAGACAAATCTTGACGGTTTCTTGAGAAAGAGGCCAAGATTGGAGCCATCGACATCTGGAGCCAGCAGTTCTGGACCTCCAGAGGTTCGAATGGATGGAGACGCTCCTTCCAAAAATACATCTTCTCCTACCTCAATGTATCCTGCAACCCCATTAAGCCAGCCAACTTCTTAGCCCAAGACAGTAACTGTTATGCTCTATTTATTAATTATTTAACGATGTTTCTATTAATATTAATACGTCAGTATGTTCTTGTAATGTTCATTTATTATTAATGAGTGTTTAAATGTTAGAAACTATTTTTTAGGGGTCAAACAGGTCAACTCACGATCGTTTTCGAACGTTTTTTATCTGGGTTAGATCGTGTGAATATCAACGTGTCGTTAACCTGTCAACACCCGACACAGCCGCTTACAACAAGGTTTGTCACGTAAACAACGCGCGCCAATTAGTGACGACTTCAGCCCACCGCTGTGTTGGAGAGTAAATCCACAACATTTACAATTCGAGTACTGTGTCGTTGGATGCAATTACCAGCGAAATGACACGGTACTAAAATTGTAAATGTTGTGGATTTACTCTCCAACACACACCGGTGTGTTGAATCGGTAACCGATTGGCACATTCCGTTAATGTGACAAACCTCACTAAATTGGGTTCTGTCGGGTAGTGGTGGGTTCACGATACATTTATATTTATGCGATCTAATCCAAAAAAAACGTTATCATGAATAATCTGTCGCAAGTGCCTACGTATCAAATGGTCTTGGAACGAATTAATGCGTTTTACAGCTAATTCCTAGATTCGATTAACAGATATTTCGGTGAACAGTAGTTTTCGTGTAAAGCGGATTAGAAACGTTAACCGGGGAACTACTGTACTCGAGTCCCTGATGAAATCACGCGTGCGTCCACTGGGCCTGCAACGAGCGAAACCGGCGTCTCGTCCCGACTCCCTGCTCGAATGGAGCCATCTTACGTTAAGCAGCCCTGTTCCAGCTGTGACAAGTCCACGTTCCTATGGTGGGGGCTAGTCCATGCCTAACCTGGCAAAATTCGAGTTATAAAATTGTATTTTACTATGGGCCACATGAAAAGTGTAGAGAAGACGACAATTGAAAGGATCTGAGGAGTACTCCCGTGATATCACCTTCCTCCAGGGAATCGCAAACGTTGGGTGATGCACTGCTCTGATAAATAAACACCTCTTCTCGGGAACGGATGCTGGTAGCACAATAGGAATAAAATTGCGTTCACAGAGATAAATAATCAAGGCCTGCTGATATTTGGGATGAATGGAAGGCGGGTGTGGAGGGCTGGTGATCGCAGGCAACACTTGGGAGGTGGCAGGGGAAGAGAAAGGCCACAATCTAAATGGACGTCAGACATCAAACGCCGGATGGGATGGAAGCGGTCTCGCAATTGAAAGATGAAGCAAAGGGCAGAGCAGAAGTTTGAGACATCCGGTTGTTGGCAATGGTTACGCCTCAACAGCCCACAAGATCAAAGAGATGAGAAATAAAGGAAAATTATGATGTCGGGCAGAGCTGGGTCCGAGCAGGAATTGAACTTTTGACCTTCGGATTGCGAGTCGAGTGCTCTGACCACTGGCGCCCGCCGGCCAGATGACATAAGAATGATGCACAAGTGCCTATATTAACGAAGCCCCCTTCGTTAAGGAAATGGTTTCGATATAATTCCTCGCTGATGTTTGTCACGGTTGGGAATCCAATTTGGGCTGTTGGGTTTATCGCGGAGTGCGTGAACCGCTGCGCCATCGTTCTCCGTTTACAAATTTGCTGCAAAATTTTACAATCTGCCACCAGTCACACACAATGTTCTCTCGTTAAACTAGCTAATGACATCACGGGGTCCTTTCAGCCAACGGTACAGAGGTGGCCAAGTGGCTGAGCGATTACAGTCTCGGAGAGAGCACTACTGAGAGCCTGGGTTCGAATGCGGGTACGTGCGCACGTACGCCTTCGGAACGGGAAAGCGTTAACCTGGCAAAATTCAAGTTCTAAAAATAGTATTTTACTATGGGCCAAATGAAAAGTGTGGATAAAAGGGTCCGAGGAGTACTCCCGTGATATCACCTTCCTCCAGTGAATCGCCAACCTTGGGTGATGCACTGCTCTGCTACATAAACACCTCTTCTCGGGACCGGATGCTGGTAGCACGATAGGAATCAAATTGCATTCGCAAAAAATAAAAAGCTCTCTACACGAGGGATGAGTTTGAGATTGAAACGTTTCGCTGCGCCATCGTTTAGAACATCTTCGTGCGAACAACTGTGATGGCCATGTGACTCCTCTATTTTGCACACAGTGTTGGTGTACGGTGCTTTTTCTGCAATATTTTGCTGTCTTTTCTTGGAATTTCTGTTTGCACTTAGTCACATAGTCACTTTAAGATGTTTTCTTGTTCATGTTTTTGTTTTTTGTTTGTTGCGGTTGCACCCAATTCAAGAGCCGAATGGCTCACAGGGCTATACCTAATATATGAACTTGAACTATCAGCAAGAAGAGCACAAAAAGTGACATCATTCGAGTGGAATTGCTTCCCGTGACATCACATTTCCGTTTCGATCAGAAGCAATACAAAATTTGCATTATCTGAAATTTTAAAGCCGGGAAACTTTTTGATCGATTTAATCCAAATATTGGGAACAACATCCTTACTTACGACCTGATTGCACGCTTCGGTCATTCACCGAGTGACCGTTAACGGGATCAAACTTTTGTTTGCAAGTTAAAGGAGGCTGCTAAGGCTTTCTGGCCACCCACAAAGATGCAAACACACACAAAGAGGTATTCCCCACACGTAAATAAACTCAGCATAACACTGTGAGCCAACACCATGAGATGTCCTGCTAATTTATAACCAATGAACTACACTAATGGACACAAATTGACTGTGCCAAGGACAATATTTAAGTGCATTCCACTGCTGAACGGGAGCCGTTTTCTCATCGTCTATTCTTATTCCGAGCTGCGATATGCACGTGTGCGTGCGTGTGCCTCCGTGGGGAGCGGTAGTGTAGCGGTTAGCGCGCCGCGCTTGTGGCCAACACCAGTGATGATTATCTGAACCAGTCCTGGCCCTCTCCTAGGTCGACTCGGCCTTCAACGAGTAAACGTCACCACGAAGTAGACAAAGGCGGCCGGGTGCAGTGCTGGCCACCCACCCCCTCGTGTGCCTTGCCGGTCATCATCGGTGCTACTCACTAATAGCACTTGCCCCAACAGTCTGTTAAGGCCATATGGGGGATCTTTGTCTTTGTACGTGCCTCACAGCCCCAGGTGTTGTCTCTCAGCCCCAAGTGGTGGGGGGGAAAAATAAATACATCTGCAATTATATTTTTTAAATTCGGTATTAACGTTTCAAAACGAGTTGACAGCCCCACGTGAGTGGGTTCGCTCGGGCGCTGCCAAGTACCAACGCTGACTGGATTAAGTGACTTGCGGGAACAAAAACACGTGAGAAGCCTTTTTTTTCTTTTTCAAATGTGATGAAAAAATGTTCAGCCCAGACAGTGATTGAGTTGAAAGAGCTTGACTCACAATCGGCAGAGAAGACAAATCCTGGTTGGGGACTCAAGATACCCCGTCACCTTCATCGTGCTGTTCAAAATCATCATCGTCATCGTCCTTTTAGGTTGGATATGAGGAGGCGCCCGTTTTCAGGAAGTCAGCGAGGGTTTTTTGTTGATATCGTGTCCTCTGCTATAGGAATATTGAATTTTCACTACGGAGCAACAAATAAAAATGAGTAGGGATGGAAGCAGACTTGAAGTTTGTTTAATCTATAACTTGTCAAGACAATCCCCACTGTGTATTGTGGTACTATATTTTTCTACCCCCAAGGAATGATTGAGGGAGTGGTGCTGCAGTGGTTAGCACCCCCCAACCCTAGTAGCCCGAGTTTAATTCCCACAGCATGGGAAGGCCTTTACTCAGCAATGTATTGACAAAGGGCTGAAAGTTATTTTCATTATCACGTATGAATGATAGATCAACTTCATCATCGACTTGGATTTGAATCTACAACCTTCTGACTACAGCAATAGACCAGTAGTCATACACTGGTAGTGGTCAATCTACATATACTTTTTTTGTATAAAATGGAGCCTGTCATCATGAGAATGAGCAATGTCCCCCAGTGGCTTAGAGGCTCTGACCTGGCCGTTACAAATCGCTCAACTCCTTTCCTGTTCTCAGACCTGTGCAAGAAGCATAGTAGCGCCGTTGTTTTTTAAGACGCCACTCACCACGGAGGACCGAAGCGACACGACCGCGGCCATTCTACGATAGCCGGTGCCAAACTGTGCCACACGCCCTCCCGCATGGCCTTGTGGGAGCCTCGGCACCGATTAAAGTTATTTGATTTTTCTTCCGGTTTCAGTTTTATGATGTGCACGTACGTCATCGGAACGGCAAAGGGTTGAGAGAGACACTCGGCAGCTTGAACCAAGGAATTAGTGGTCTGTGGTTCTGTGTCTGTGACAGTCATTGGGAGCAATCGTCAAAACAAATATCCCCATCTCGAGCAGCTCAAGCCTCCTGTAGCTCACGCAACTGTGGTTATTGTTGTTGGTGGTTATTGTTGTTGTGTTGCTGGCCACACCACAACCCCTAACCAACGTGCTCGACCAGACTTAATAGACGCACACTAACACCACTTGCCCCCATCAGTCTAGAAGGCAGAGCAGAGGCACCTTGGTATTTTTGTTCTGCTTTGCCGTGTGCCTGTGGGTGGTGGCTGGCTAATTGGGATGGAGGTGGATGAAGAGTGTGTCACACCAACTGTGCCAGTGTTAATGAAACGCAATGAAGAGTGGTCTCACCTCAAACTGCCGGGACTGGTTGAGCGATTGCACCAGCACGTTGATTTGAGCATTGCTCTGTAACAACAACAACAAGAGTGAAATCATCATTAAATTAGCATCACGATTACCATTATCAGCATCATAATTTCACGTCAGTCAATATCATGTCAGTGTACGTTATACAATCATTTTTAAACCCCTACCATTTTTATCATCATTGCATCATTCCCATCGCCTTCATAATCAGCATCATTAATTTATTAACAATTATCATCATCACATTCATGTATATTGTCGTCATGTAAATGTAAAATATTTCATCATGAACATGACAAGCATTATCATTCTTACCACCACTAGTAATGGTATTACCATCACAATCAACAAGATCAAATCAGCTGCAATCTTTACAACCATTTTCATCATCACATTGATTAATGTCACCATTATCATCATCATCATCCCACAATCAATGTCAGTGTTTCCCTGCTCAAAGCAGCCAGAAGAAGAAATTACACATTACCGTGTCAGGGACCAGCCTCTCCATAAGAGAACGACTGCTGAAATCCCACAAAGCGGTTCTAATTTTACACATCCAGGAGGAATGGATGATGGGCTGAGCCGATCCTTAACTGGGATTTGAACTCACGACCTTCAGGTTGAACCCTTTTGTCACTATGGACGAGGGCCTCACAACCCCATGCAGGTAGAGGGCGATTATTTGACCATACCTGACCACAACAAACGCCCAGCGCACTTTCAATAGCTAGGAGGGCCAAAGTATTCTCTCTTATTATAATGCTTAATTTGATTAGGGCTACACGCTGACACATTTTCACACTAAAGCCCATGTCTGGCACAGAATGCTGTTTTCGCGAATAATTGCAGGAACCCTGAAGCCCCCTGTAAGTGCATGACATGAAATGAGCAGACAAACGCACTTGCACAACTTCCTACAGACCTAAATCATTTGAAAGCAATCGCGTAATACGTAATACAGGCACGCGGTGACGTACGCACGTACACCACTACATGTATAGTCAGCCTGTCAACCCACTGCTGGGACAAGAGATACAATAGAATGATTGTTTTCTGCACTATCCCCTGCTGACAACAGAGACCTGCAGCAGCCAATACTCTGTTTTTTTTGGTACGGTGGTCGCTCATCCCAAGTACTATCGCGGCTCAAACCTGCTGAGCTGTTGCGATGATGAGACCGGGCGTATTCCAGTTGATGTGATCGTAAGCATTATGAATACGCGCAAAAAAAACAAGGCTTTTCAGTGTCGCCATGCCCCACGAATGACCTCAGGGTGTCATTGACTTTCCACTGCTGATCCCGAGCCAGCAATGGAAATTGTAATCATTAACCGTGGTGGGTCAAGTTTATCCAAACACTTCCAAGTGTTGTCATCAAATGTAGTCTCGTGAGCGCCAATGTTGACAACGCTGCGCTGGTCACGGGAACGTGACGTGGCTGGCCTTTCCATCGGATGGCAAGTATTATATAAGACTCATAGTAATAATAATAAGTATTAGGCTGATTATATATTCCAATTAAGTCGCAAAACTCGTTCTCAAGAGAGTCCAGCATTGTGACGTTTGATAAACGTCATGAATGAGCGTTTGGCTCCATGTGGGAGGAAACTGGCCACACACACGAGGCGGGGGCGATGTTCAAAGCTCCATAGATAAATTTAATCCACAGACTCACAGTAGCGAGTGCACTAAATCTATCTGTGGACCAAACTCGTTGCTGGACTGCCATCTCCGATCACCATCTCGGATCAGCTCACAGGCCCACGCCTACGACACCGGGTATGTTTACTGGTGGTCATCCACCCAATACATTTCCAGACTTGACGAGGCCGAAGAACACCCATGCATACGAGGGGAAAACACTCAAGACTCTCACCACTTCCAATCAAGCTCGCAGCCTACAACACTTGCCAAGCTCTGGTGGACATTCAACCCGTACTTCCGATGAGCAGGGTTGACATACGTACACACTTAACCAGGTTCAACCCCGTTTGCCGTCTGAGATCTGATGAGATTGGGTGCATTTATGGCGACCTCGCTGGTGACAGGACTCATTTTATCCAATGCAAAGCAACGATGATGGACTAAGACGATGCCCAACAAGGATTTGCACTTCAATGCATTGCGTGAAAAATATTAAGAGGGCACAGTATTACACAGCGAACCATTTTGGCAATTTGCGCAGTTCACAGCTGTTGAGTCTGATGTGATGAGGCTGTTAAAGAGCATGTGACATCATCATTGGCACACAATAGTCGTTGCAAGCTACCAGAGAGAATTCAATTTATGCCACTATCAAGGGTTTGCACAGACCTTGCTTGCAAAAGGGACAATGGATCTCAATTGGCTTATGCATGGTTAAATTAAGGATGCCGATTATAATTATTTAAGAGATGATGGATTATTACCTGCCTAAAAAACCATCACTCATTTAAAAGCTACTGACTCTTAATAGGTTCTAACATTTTAACAAAATTTTTTTTTTCATTTACCAATTAAAACATACTGAGATTTATAGCTCTTTTGAGAATCAACCTGGCTATAAATGATAGCTCAACGAAATGGCTTATTGTGCGGAAATTTACATCAGTCAAACACTATAAGCGCATGTTGATTCTAAATGCGGAGGGAAAAACATGACCCGGAAAAAAAACTCCAAATATACGCAGCAGGCGTCAGGGTCAGGATCGAACCCACGACCTCCTGCGTACCAGACGAGGTAATGAACATCTCCTGGCCACCGTGATGATGATGAGAGAGAGAGAGACACGCAAACTCCAAATATACAGCAGCAGGCGTCAGGGTGGGGATCGAACCCACGACCTCTCGTGTACCAGGCGAGGTAGTCCACATCTCCTGGCCACCAGCCATGATGAATCCACTGCTTGATGAAGGCTCCCCGAGGCGAGAGCCATGGGGCCCTGTGATGTGAGATCCCACCAAGCAACCGCACACAACAGCTGATTTCATCGCTCCATCGCCACAACACCCCTGGGGGCATCGTTGCCTCTCTTCGCTGCCACTCCGTCATTGTTCTCGCCTGCTGGCGCATCATCCCTTCTAACGACGTGTCCTGCCCAAGCCCGCAGTTTCCCAAAAAGTGATTACGCTGTAGAAATAATATCACGACAGACAGAGAATGCCCTCTCACATTGCTGAATGCAGGACGTGAATCACGAGAGGTAATGCTTCTCAATAATCTCTCACCTGGCTAAATCAATGACTTCAATCAGCAGAGACAATTAACCTCAATGACCTTTCACCTGTTTACAAAATAGACCTCAATCGCAAAAATACGAATCCAGATGGGGTCTCATGGTCAAGTAAAGTAAATATTTTTTGAGATAATGAATCTCAATGTGCCGTTATTCATCCTGGAGATAATTCAACTCAAAGGACACGGACGACATAACAGAACTAATAACGGCTTCTCATCGAGTTAAATAATGGTCATCAATCATCGAAGAGATGAGAAAAAATTTATTACTTAAGTTTATATCTCAATGAAGTCTTCACCCAGTGATATCAGAGCACATCGACGCTCGTTGGGCTCTTACCTGGTTAAAGCACACCAATTATTTCCACAAATTATTGAGATAAATCTCCATATGCCTCTCACCTGTTTAATATGCTATCAATCACAACACGTGAGTGAGTTTGCGTGGGTTCATACCTCTGATTAAATTGAGGATGCCATTGATTTCAGAAATCAATCTCAAATCGCTCTTCTCACGTGGTTAAATAAAAGTTGTCAATCAACGTAAGAGCTTCATGAATTTCAATGACCTGCCCACCTGGTTAAATAAAGTAGGAACATTTATTCGGAAGCAATTGCGGTGACAGCCAAGGATGGAACGATTCCTAAGAGCAAGATCACCGAGGAGATGGAGTGGTCAAATCAGTTGTGTGCAGGCGCTTCGTTGGAAATTTATTCCGAGGATCGTGGTGGGGAGGCGTTCATCCAACTGTTGATTGCCATGGCCGATGATGATGAGGACCTGCTCGTGTACTCTCAGTTCAATAGACCACGACATCAAAACTCTTAGACGGTTATATAAAGATGTCAACTCTGGAAGATAATGCATTTTAATATAATCTTACCTGGTTACATGAATAACACCAACACATTATTCGACGATAGCTATGCTTTATGCCACTCACCCGGCTATAATAAAGAAAATCGAATGATGAATCACAAGAGAACACAAAAACTCAACGTGATCCCACCCAGTCAATCAAATAACGCGAATTAAAAAACACACTAAGATTGCAATGTATTCTCAGCCGGTTGAGTAGCGGGCGTTAATAACGCCACACGCAGGATCTCAATGTGCTCCGGCGAGTTTTAATCGAGGACTTTAATATTAGATTCAAGAGACAATTGAACGTGGCTGGGCACTCGCCTGATTAAAGGAGGAGACAATCTCACAAGTGCACACTCCCCATGGTTAAATAATGGCCAACCGGTAACACGAATCGCGCACATCACCAAACGCGTAGCGGGCACTGCACATTGCGCTTGAGCAGAACCCGCAGTACACCAACACACGCACATGCCGCCGCATCCCCTTTCATAATTCACTGCTGGACGAGAAGACCTTCTGATGCCGTGAGAGATTGTTTTTTTTTCTTAAACCCATACCAATGCCTGTCAGTGGGGGTGGATTGATGAAGCAATAGCATCAGGTGGGCGGCATCGAGGTACAAGGCACAGCAGGCAGAGCATCCTCCACGAAGCCTGCGAAGAACCCAGCGCCTGCTTGGCTTTGCGGCACGAGGCGAGGATGGCAAGGGCGCATTGTTGACGCTTTTCGGCACGAGATGTAGAATCCTTTAACGCTCATCAACGAACCAAGACCCCCTCACCCCACCCCCAGTATAGCCTGTAACAGACTGTTGGGGCAAGTGCTGTTAGCGAGCACCTATGAAGGCCGGCACAAACTCGAGGGGGGAGGGTGGCCAGCACCACACCCGGCCGCCTTTGTCTCCCCAGTGATGTTTTGACGCACCACACCAGGTTTCTCATTTGAGGCCGAGTCGACCTAGGGGAGGCCCAGGACCGGTTCAGACAATCGTCAGCGGTGTTGGCCACGAGCAGGAATCGAACTCGGGTCGCCGGGTTCGTAGCGCAGCGCTAACCACCGCTCCCAAAATCACGCACACACACAGTGACACATCCACGCAAATACCACATTGCACGCGTAGTTAGAATCCTAATAAGTGGGGGGTTTTTTTAAACCACGCAATTGTTTAAACGGTAAATTGCAACATTTTAAAAGGTAAAAAAAACTACCACCTCAAAGCCCGGTGCCTCCGTGCTCTTAACCGGCTAAGGTCGCCCTCAACCCCGGCCGACATTTCAGGCCAGAGCGTGGTCTCGCTAGGCCGCAACCGGTCCAACGGTACGCGGCAGCGCATTTCAGCGCGGGGGCGAGGAGGGAAACAAATAAAACAAACCAAGGCTGATGATTATCCATTTTAACGACTGACCTCTCACGCGTTCTCACCTCTGCGCTGACGCCAACGAATGCCGCGTTCGCGAAGACGGCGAACAGGATCACAGCGCCCGCTTTCGCCATTTTACACCGCTTCTTGTTGTTATTCTGTGCGCGGGCTGACGTCACCGCGATGTGCGTATGCCGCGGTGACGTCACGACGTCGATCTTTCTTTTCGAACGCGTTGACGTCATCGCGCAACCCTACACGGGCAGTCCCCGGGTTACGGAATGGTTAGGTTCCCGAGAACGATCCGTAACCCGAATTGTCCGTATATCGGAAACTGAACATTTCCCACCCAAAATCAAGATAAATTTCATTTAACTTAATCCTAGTGAAACTCGAGCAAGGCGTAAGGCTGCCCGCCTTACGCCTGCTGTGCAGTAATCACCCGCAACCTCACCGCGCTGCGCTTAACGTAACTAACGCAAACGTTTCCGCGTATTGAATTTTTTTGTAACATGATTTATGGGAGCGTTTCCGTAAGGCCGGATTTCCCGAAGTCGGGTCTTCCGTAACCCGGGGACTGTCTGTACATATACAGTCCAGTTGATAATCGATTATCCGGCACTGCGCGATTATCCCGATTCCATCATTATCCGGAGGTACCGGCAAAACCGCTCCAAAGGCCGTAACCAGTCCGGCGATCGGCAGGCACCACGTGCGTGACGAAACAACCAGTAGCTATGCTTGACTGCAGTGTTAAATATTGTATACGGTACATTATACACTACTTACAACCTAATCAAAATACTGCACGTGCATACACAACACCCCATGTAGAGTCTTCGAGATCGGAGAGAAAAGTACGGTACAGAAAATACAGTAACTTATTCGAGTGGGATATTGATTTTTGTCTATTTGTATGTTTATGTATACCAATTTCATACAAAATATACATAACACCCAAAAACATGTCATACAAGAATGTGCAAAAATAAGCTATTTTAAATAATGATGAGCAATTATCCGGTGTTTTAATAACCGGTGCCCCCTCCCCCCCGAAGGCTAGGAGATGTTAACTACCTCGCCTGGTCTACAGGAGGTCGTGGGTTCGATCCCGACCCTGACGCCTGCTGCTGTATATTTGGAGTCTGCGTGTTCTCCCTGTGATCGCGCGGATTTTTCTCCGGGTCCTCTAGGGTTTCCCTCCACATTTAGACACATACATTGAGATTATTTAGATTATTGTGGTGCTATAAATGCCCAAATGATGGGCCACTTTGTTGAGCTATCAGGTGTGATCAGGGGAAAGTTGAGTTTTATTTGTGTGTGCTTTGCACTCCTATCGTGTTTTTTTTCATGTTCTTTGTTGTTGTAACGTTCTTCACCGCCCCGACTGGACATCTGTGAAAAAGAGCTTCACAGCTCATCGGATTCCTGCTCCTACAGTGTAAACACGTGCTGGTTGTGAACAACAACAACACAGCGAAACACGGACACACACACAACCGCAGTGCATACGCAAAACCTGATGAGTCAAAATGACATCGAAACCGGTCCACATTTGTCTTCTCACTGAATCACCGCTGCTGTCAGCCGGTCACATCTGTTCAAGCTTATGTTGATGGTTACCTAAGGCAAGGAGCGGCGATACACTTCTGCAGGAAATGCGCATCGTTTGGCCTGTGTGTGTGTGCCTGTGTGTGTGTGTGTGCCTGTGTCTGTGTGTGTGTGTGCCTGTGTGTGTGTGTGCCTGTGTGTGTGTGCCTGTGTGTGTGCCTGTGTGTGTGTCTGTGTGTGTGTGTCTGTGTGTGTGTGCCTGTGTGTGTGTGCCTGTGTGTGTGCCTGTGTGTGCCTGTGTGTGTGTGTGCCTGTGTGTGTGTGTGCCTGTGTGTGTGCGCCTGTGTGTGTGTGTGCCTGTGTGTGTGTGTGTGCCTGTGTGTGTGTGCCTGTGTGTGTGTGTGTGCCTGTGTGTGTGTGTGCCTGTGTGTGTGCCTGTGTGTGTGTGCCTGTGTGTGTGTGTGTGCCTGTGTGTGTGTGTGCCTGTGTGTGTGTGTGCCTGTGTGTGTGTGTGCCTGTGTGTGGTGTGTGCCTGTGTGTGTGTGTGCCTGTGTGTGTGTGCCTGTGTGTGTGTGTGCCTGTGTGTGTGTGTGCCTGTGTGTGTGTGCCTGTGTGTGTGTGTGCCTGTGTGTGTGTGTGTGCCTGTGTGTGTGTGCCTGTGTGTATGTGTGCCTGTGTGTGTGTGTGCCTGTGTGTGTGTGTGCCTGTGTGTGTGTGTGCCTGTGTGTGTGTGTGCCTGTGTGTGTGTGCCTGTGTGTGTGTGCCTGTGTCTGTGTGTGTGTGTGCCTGTGTGTGTGTGTGCCTGTGTGTGTGTGCCTGTGTGTGTGTGTGTGCCTGTGTGTGTGTGTGTGCCTGTGTGTGTGTGTGCCTGTGTGTGTGTCTGTGTGTGTTTGTGAGCCTGTGTGTGTGTGTGCCTGTGTGTGTGTGCCTGTGTGTGTGTGTGTGCCTGTTGTGTGTGCCTGTGTGTGTGTGCCTGTTTGTGTGTGCCTGTGTGTGTGTGCCTGTGTGTGTGTGCCTGTGTGTGTGTGCCTGTGTGTGTGTGCCTGTGTCTGTGTGTGTGTGCCTGTGTGTGTGTGTGCCTGTGTGTGTGTGTGCCTGTGTGTGTGTGTGTGCCTGTGTGTGTGCCTGTGTGTGTGTGCCTGTGTGTGTGTGTGCCTGTGTGTGTGTGCCTGTGTGTGTGTGTGTGCCTGTGTGTGTGTGTGTGCCTGTGTGTGTGTGCCTTTGTGTGTGTGTGTGCCTGTGTGTGTGTGCCTGTGTGTGTGTGTGCCTGTGTGTGTGTGTGCCTGTGTGTGTGTGCCTGTGTGTGTGTGTGTGCCTGTGTGTGTGTGTGCCTGTGTGTGTGTGTGCCTGTGTGTGTGTGCCTGTGTGTGTGTGTGCCTGTGTGTGTGTGTGTGCCTGTGTGTGTGCCTGTGCCTGTGTGTGTGTGTGTGCCTGTGTGTGTGTGCCTGTGTGTGTGTGTGCCTGTGTGTGTGTGCCTGTGTGTGTGCCTGTGCCTGTGTGTGTGTGTGTGTGCCTGTGTGTGTGTGCCTGTGTGTGTGTGGCCTGTGTGTGCCTGTGTGTGTGCCTGTGTGTGTGTGTGTGTGCCTGTGTGTGTGTGCCTGTGTGTGTGTGCCTGTGTGTGTGCCTGTGCCTGTGTGTGTGTGTGTGCCTGTGTGTGTGTGCCTGTGTGTGTGTGTGTGTGCCTGTGTGTGTGCCTGTGTGTGTGTGCCTGTGTGTGTGTGCCTGTGTGTGTGTGTGTGCCTGTGTGTGTGTCTGTGTGTGTGTGCCTGTGTGTGTGTGCCTGTGTGTGTGCGTGTGCCTCCAGGAGGACGTGGAGCTGAGTGGACTTGCCGATGACTGGTACCAGCGGTGTCAAGATCGGCCTCTGTGGAGGAGGCTCGTGAAGGACGCTACTGGGAAGTTGGAGGCAGTCGCCCTCCAGCAACAACGGAGGGTGGAGGAGCGACGCTCACAACAACGAGCGGAGCGCCGCGTGGCTAAAGCACAGCAAGTTGGCACAGTAGGGGGCACAAGTGGTGCATCAGCCAGTCGTCTCGGTCATCTCGGTCAGTCGACCCGTGGCACCTGCTGGGTCTGCCCCGTGACCTCCTGCCAGCGGGCGTTCGACACTTCACGTGGCCTCAAGGTGCACATGGCCTGGCACAAGCGTCGTGGTGACGTCACCGCCACTTAGTGGCGAATGGCGGTTGTTGTTGTTGTGGGGAGCGGTGGTGTAGAGGTGAGCGCGCTGCGCTATGCATCTGGGGGCCCGGGTTCGATTCCCGCTCACGGCCAACACCAGTGTGACGATTATCTGTGTCAGTCGTGGGCCTCTCCTAGGTCGACTCAGTCTCAAATGAGTATCTGGTGCGGTGTAGCAGCACTTGCCCCTACAGTCTGTTAAGGCTATACGCAAGGGGGGATCTTTGTCTTTGTTTTGTTGTTTATAAATCGTGGGTTCATTCTGTACCATTCTCTGACGATGGATTTTTTTCGTCTCCATGCTAACCCTTAGCACGTCTCCATGCTAACCCTTAACATTTAGAAAAATCACACCGTGGCCTTCACGGTGTGATTTTTGACACTTTCGTAAACAAACAAACGAGTCGCATTCAGGATAAGCAAGAGCAAAGGGTTTCGTGTTGCAAAAAATAATGAGTCTAGAAGACGTGGTCACAAACACACCGTGCAAGGGAACGAGGTGAACTGTGGTCAAGGCGGGCCCTCCCCCAGTGAGCACGTGCTGCAGGGGGTTGTTAGCAACCTAATTGGGCCTCGTTAGCGTCGGGGGTTAACACACAAAAAATTCAGAAAGTTCCCGTTTGCAATTTTTTTCTTCTACAGTTTCACTTATCACAGAGCCAGTGCAGTTTTTTGTGTTGTTTTTAAAGGATGCTGTGCGGAGTTGGAATTTTTAAAATAAACAATAGACACTTAAAATATCAATGTTACTGTTTGAACAGCAAACGTTGACTGTTGGGAGCTCGAATATTGAAATCAAGCCACGGTTAACTAAGACTTTGTCACCATTTGACTCAGTCTTTATAACCATTTAACTCAGACTTTATAACCATTTAAACTATTTATTTATTTTTCCACTGAGCTCTGTCGCTCTGTTTCAGACGCTACCTGGCCATCAACAATTACAGCTCGGCGAGGTGGCTCATCATGTGGACATTTATAGCGGACAAATACTCAGAACTCATCATCATCAAGGCCATCATCAATGCCATCATCAGTGCCGGTTGTGTTAGCGACGGGGCCGGGATTTGGCAGCACAAGCGAGCGGTGTCACGGCCATTCACGAACCCTCCAATAAATAAATAAATATAGAGAGAGAGACAAACACCCAGTCCCAGGGTTTGATCCCACGTCTGTGAGCCGTGCTGGCTCAGTATCGCTCAGACACGACCACAATGAATATCTTAAACGAGAGAGAGAGAGGGGGCCTTGCCTGGTACAGTGGCGAGTAGTCACCATGAGCCCTGGGCACCCCGAGGCCACGCGTTAAGTCGTGCTCTGCTATTTCAAAGCCGTGCCTACAAAATGCAAAAGCGTTGCCTTTTCATTTTTTTCCGAGTGTGAGACAGAACATATTTAGAGCGTTCTCCTGCAAGTCATCAGGCGACACAGACCACACGCCAATACCAC